CATCCAGAGCTGGGATAGGGAGGGTCTGATCCCGCCGTGTACCATCCAGAGCTGGGATAGGGAGGGTCTGATCCCGCCGTGTACCATCCAGAGCTGGGATAGGGAGGGTCTGATCCCGCCGTGCACCATCCAGAGCTGGGATAGGGTGATGATGGTGACACTGAGGAACACATGGGGCGCTGTTTCTCGTCCATTTTCCCACAGCGCCAAAATGGAAAATATGGAATTCTGTCTCCCATCTCCCGCTGCCACAACCCTACCCCCTTCAGATTGAAACCGAGATTGATGTGTGTTGGGAATTTGAGGGGTTCAGTGGTAAGACAGTGCAGAGACAGTGTGGTGTACATTAGGCATTCTGATGTTGGGTGGTAGTGCAGACCTGAGGGACTGAATGGCCTCCTGTTGTCACTGTGAAGCAGTAGCCTGTTGATATTGATGGTTTTCCCCAGCTGATAGGGGGTACGAGTGGTCTCCATCTCTCTAACCCCTGCCCATTGACCCTGGGTCTGACTCTTGCCCCTTGCTGTTGGTTGGCAGGTTCCTGGTGAGTTTTATGGTGGATGCACGTGGGGGCTCAATGCGAGCAAGCCGCCACATTGGGCTGCGTGTGATCATCCCACCCCAAACATGCAACGCTCCGACCAGGATCACCTGCCGCTTGGTCAAATCCCAGAAACTGGTGAGTCCCCCGCCGCTGGTGGAAGGAGACGGATTGGGCAGCAGGGTGATCGCTCTGGGACCTGCTGGGATCCAGTTCCTCGGGTAAGGACCAGCCCTATCAGCCAATCTCTGAGGCTGGGCACTGAGCCCGAGGGCTCGTCCCACTCACTCACTCACTCACCCTGTCTTCTCTCCATCTTCATCCGATCACCATCCTCTTGTCCTTTTTCTCTTCCCTGCTTTTCTGTCTTTTTGTCACTTCCTTTCAATTTCTTCTCTCAATGTCTCCCACTTTCACTTTCTTTCCCTCTCTCCCTTTTTCTGTTTTATCTCACCTTGTCTCTCTCTCCCCTACCTTTCTATTTCTTCCCTCCTCCTCACTCATGTTCTCTCTCTCTCTCCCTGTCTATTTCCTCCCTCTCTCATGTTCTCTCTCTCTCTCCCTGTCTATTTCCTCCCTCTCTCACGTTCTCTCTCTCTCTCCCTGTCTACTTCCTCCCTCTCTCATGTTCTCTCTCTCTCTCTTTCTCTCTCCCTCTCTCTCTCCCCCATCTCTATCTAGTTCCTCCCTCCTCCTCTCTCATGTTCTCTCTCTCTCTCTTTCTCTCCCTGTCTATTTCCTCCCTCTCTCATGTTCTCTCTCTCTCTCTTTCTCTCCCTGTCTATTTCCTCCCTCTCTCATGTTCTCTCTCTCTCTTTCTCTCTCCCTCTCTCTCTCCCCCATCTCTTTCTATTTCCTCCCTTGTCCTCTCTCATGTTCTCTCTCTCTCTTTTTTTCTCTCTCTCTCTCCCCCATCTCTTTCTAGTTCCTCCATCCTCCTCTCTCACATTCCCTCTTTCTCACCCTCTCTATATCCTCCCTCCCGGTCTCTCCTGTGCTGTCTCTCCCCTCCTCTATGCCCTCACCCCTGGTCTCTCACATTGTCTGTCTACCTCCCGGTCTCTCACATTCTCTCTCTCTCTCCGTGTGTGTGTTTAGACCCGTCATTGTTGAGATCCCACACTACGCCTCTGTGAGCCACGCAGATCGGGAGCTGGCAGTCCTGCGCAGCGAGAACGGCTCGACGTGGAAAGATCACCAGAATTCCTATGGAACGGAGCACCTGGAGCCGCTGCTGAACAGAATGGATGAAGGTACGTGGGCGTTCCATGGGGAACGGGCTCGGATATACCGAGGCACCCAGTGGGCTGGAAACGGTGCGGGGGACCGCGCTAATCTGCTGTTGAACCGACAACAGGCTGGGGTCCTGTTTGCACTGTGCCCTGAGGAGGAGGGAAGCTGGAGGATTCTAACTGCGTTAGCATCCACATCCCACCAGATTCAAAACACAACCCCC